CTTTTCAGCAATTCACAAGGTTCAAGCAACGTTCCCTCATCCAACCCCAGGAAATAATTTGTTACAGGAAGTGCTGGGTGTAACAGCTATTTACAATTTTAAAAGATTTTTAAAATTTTGGATTTCTTACACAAAATTGCTGCTCAGGTCCAAAGGAGAAGGCACTGAATCAGTTGGCTGCTTGTTCCATGGCAAAGCTGAAGAATTCATTCCTGTGGCTGGCAAAGGAGACTGCAACAGATTGCCCAAAGGCCAGGGAACTTGATTTCCAGGAAACCCTGACAAAAACAACAATCAAAACAGAACATCAGTTACACAGTGCTGATGAATGAAATCTTACAATTACACCCTAATAATGATCCTTATATAATGACAATTCAATAAGGCAGAAAAGATCTCCAGCTTCAGTCTTTTCCAAAAATGCCACTTTCAAAATGAATTGCTTCATTCAGCAATAAATTTAGCATTAACACTATTCCAACAAATAGTAATCATTTGCCAGGGAATCCCAATTTTTTCTATACGGTATATAGAGAGAAAAACACCGCATCTTTTGTTGCACAGTACTGTAGTTCAATTCTTGTATGAAATTCTAGCATCAAAAGTACAATACTGTACTTAGCATATTCAGAAAATTGTATTGCCTTGGCACAATGGTTAAACTCTTGGGCAATGGTGGGTCTTTTTGTATTGCGGAGCAGTGCCAGGATTTTTTTAGCACTCTCCTGAATTTTGGTTTGACAAAAGGTCACTGAAACACAGCTTTGGATGAGTAGCCGAAGTCAGGAAAAATCCCACAAAAAGAAATTAACAGAATTACCAGATCTGGATAAAGGAAAGACACAATGGTAAGTTTTATAGAGTAAAGACTCGAGAGACATCAAGAGAACTTCACATCTTTTATTTCCTTCATTTTAATCAAGGTCTCATAACATTACTTTTTTATTAATTTATCATTGTTAGAACAAATTGGATGACATCTGATAGAAGTCTCTGGGATATTTATATTTGCTAAAAGAAATAATCATACAACAAACATAGCACCAATCACATTCATTGCACATGAGGTACCACTCAACTTTATGTCTCAATTNATTTTGCTGAAATTTGGCAATTTTTTTCACAGATTTGGCCTGTCCTAGCTTGATTGAGAAAGAGAAGAAAAGCATTTTTTTGGTGTACCCTTTATTGCAGAACTGGCAATGACTATTTTTGCAATAGTCTGGAATAAAAAAACATTCAGTATAACAAAGATTTATTTTTTAAATATTTTTATTCATGAAAAAAGGGATTTCCCTTTATGTGTTTTCAGACATACCCACAAAATCAGCTTGAAAATGTGTTTATTCCATCCATTTCTTAGCAAATAATTTCCTGCCTTGAATTAATTTTAAAAATCCTGACCATTGCAATTAAGCTCTCAACTTGCTCAAATTTCAAACTTGGGGCTGGAGAAGACTATATTATTTTTTGAAATTGTTGGTCAATTTTCAAAAGAAGATGCTTACTTTGAATTACTAGAAATGCTGTCATTTTTGGCTAAAAACATTTAATTAAAAAAAATTTGTGTCATGTGAGTCACTCCCTTCCAGTGAGTAATGTTTAACTGCAAATTTGCATGGCTCAGGTTGGTTGTTGAGCACAAACACATTTTAATTTTGTAAAGTAATTTGGGGTTTTCAATAAAGTTACAGAGACAATGAAGTTTAGTTATTGGTCTGATGAAAGTGTATTCTCCTACCTGTTGCATGGTGGCCCACGGATGTTGTGGTTGATGCTGTTGCTGCTGCAGGTTCTGCCCACCAGGGTTACCAACCATTGGGAGTCCACCCAGCAGAGGCAAAAATGAAGTTGCAGGCTCTTTCTTTGGTTGCTTCTTGGCCTTTGGACCCCTTCTGGTTCCATAAACATCAATAATGGGCAAAGGGTTGGGGGTTCCATCTGCATTCAGCACAACATCTGGATTGTGGTTGTATTTCCGCAGGTGCAGCTTCAGACTGTGGCAATACTTGGTGGCATATGAGCAGTCTGCACATCTATTTGGTTGGAAATGCAAAAAAAAATATGATCAAGATGAATGTGCTCTTTAATGGACTTCAACTTTGTCAGATGCTAATGCTCCCCTCAACACAAGTGAAAAATTTTAATTTTTTCAGATGATGTGTACTCTTACAATACAGGTATAGTACCTTGCAATTAGACTTCCTGAAATTTCACCATCTTGCAATTCAATGTTCAAATTTGCAGGGAGGTTGACTGGTATTTTGACCCTTGCCCTGCAATTTGACCTGCTTTGGCCACTTTTTTGCATTTTGTACTTATATATTTGAATTTTATGGTGTGTGTCTTACATATTGTCAAATGTGAAATTTGACTCTGGTTTGACATTAGATTGGGATGAAATTGCAGGGCTCTACCTCTACATCTTTATGGTACCGGGTCATCCGCCAGTCGGTCAATTGACAGTCGCGCACCCACCGGTTGTCAAGCGCCGGTTGGTCTAACTGCCAGCCAGGGCAGTCCTTGGCCTTGCCAATCCCCAGTCCACCAAACTGCGGTCCGGTCACCCAATTGTTGGGGCACCCGAACCATCGGGTGACAAGAATCGTGCTGATTCTTCCTAGAATTTGGTGAGGAGAATGGTATCCTACCATAGATTTTTTTTTTACAAAATTTCATCTGGTAAAAATTTTCACAAAAAGAAAAAACTTATCAAACCCAACCTAACTTAACCTAACATATCCTAACCTAACCTAACCTAAACTAACACAACATAAACTGACCTAACCTAACCTAACATTGCTGAAATTTTGAAAAAAAAATCTGTGGTAGAATACCATTCTGCTCACTGAATTCTAAAAAAAAATCAGCATGATTCTTGTCACCCGATTGCTCGGGTGCCCTGACAATTGGGTGACCAAACCGCAGTTTGGTGGGCAGGGGATTGGCAAGGCCAAGAACTGCCCTGGCTGGCGGTTGGACCGACCAGGGCTTGACGACCGGCAGGTGCGTGACCGTCAATTGACCAACTGGCGGCTGACTGGACACGCATCTTTATACAGCAAGATAAAGATGCGTGTCCAAATCACAAAAACATTTGTGCTTTCATGAACTTGAAATTGCATTGGTTTACAACATATTTCAAGTTTCAAGTTCAATTTACAAAGGTTTTTGACTATATAATGAGATATTTTGAGTTTGGGAGGTTTTGAGTTAAGAAAACTAGCATTTTTGTTGTAGGGGAACGTAAAAGAATTACAAGGAATTTTAAATTGTGATACTCTGCTCCTTAAATTGCTTCTCAAATGGATTGACAAGATGCTGAAATTGGAGGCAAGGGTTCATTTACTCAATTAGTCTTTTGCTTCATTTCAACACACACCATTTTATTTTTATTGCTTTTTTATATCCTGTGTCAAGAAAATAATAGCCAAAGGCCTCAGAAAAGTCAAATTATGCAGGTTTGGAGTTCATGCAGGGTTTGCTGCATTTGAGTTAGGGAGGTTTTCAATGTGCAGTCAACCCCTGCACAACAGATTTTTGCACAACAGACTGCCTCTGGAGGCAGTTTTTCTTCCTGCACAATAAACTAAATGAGCAAAACAGACTTTGTTTGATTTAAAATTGATGGTAAAAAGTAAAAATTCTAATTTTTAATAATTGAATTTGCATATGCAGTAATACTTTTCACTCAACAGATTAGTCTCATGCACAAATTGAGTTTGTTTGGGGGGGGGGGGTTTGGACTGTATTGTTCATGATAGAATTTTGATGGGAACTCAAATTTCACTTATGGAGTTTTACTTGACTTGGGGAGGTTTGAGTTATCAAGGTTCAACTGTAATAAATCATTTTTGATATATTTTGGAATGTTTGAAATAATTTTGTAGAAGGACCTGAAATGAATTTCTTTTACTTTTGCAAGTGGCAAATGAAGCATTCAATCAATCAATGAATCAATCAATCCCAGACAATTCAAACTCACTGACCTGTACTGATAGACAGTGGAATGACTTTTCATGTGGGAATTGAGCATGGACTTGTTGACGCAGGCATAAGCGCACTGGTCGCACCGAAACGGCTTGCTCCCAAAATGGTTCCTCACGTGGTACTCCAGGTGGTGCTTGTACTCGGTCACGAATGGACACTTGGGGCATTTGAGCGCCCTCTCGGCCTTGATGTGCTCGGCTCTGGAATGCGCCCACAGCTCCTGCTTATCCGTGGCCACAAACCCGCACTGTTTGCACTTGAGGCGGGACTTGTTGTTGCTGTTGCTGTTGGTGTTGGTGCCTGTGGTGGTGGTTCCGGTGGTGCTGGTGTCTTTGGAGCTGCCCTCGTCGCTGCTCAGGTTGGTCTTGTCCAATTCCTCAGAGGGCTAGAGTTGACAAGTAAATGCCAGTGAAAATATCATCTTTCCAGCAAAGCCATGGAGGCTAAGGCAATTGCATGGCTAATGAAGAAAGGTTCAGTAAATGCTGCAATTGTTATAATTTTGGCTTTTGCTGCAATTCTTGTTGCTGATATTTTGTTTTCAATGTCAGGGAAAGAAGGGGGTGTACACATACACATCAATTTTACAGTTGTATATTGTGGAATGTGTTTTCTTTTATTCTGGTATCCATATACAACTTTTTTCTTTGTTTCTCATTCTGAAGTGATTGAATGCAGTTGAATGGATTAGAAGTGGGTGGGGAGGGGGTTTGGATGTGGGAATGTTGATTGAACCTTGTGAATGCTTAGGGGGGGGGGGGTTTGGAGGTGGGAATGTTGATTGAACCTTGTGAATGCTGAAAAGCAGAAAATGAAGCTTTCTTTCCATTCATAAAGAAAGATATGTCACAAAGTACCTCATTTCATATGGTGGCTATTGGACATGGACAAAAAATAAGGGACTTTCTTATGTGATAAATTATTCATTATAAGAAAAGACTTTAAAAAGATATTTGACAGTTATTAAACCTCTTCAAGGCAAACTATGAGGGTCCATGTAAAAATCAAGTTAGGGGGGGGGGAGGGTTTGACTTATGAAAAAAAAACCTTTTTACCTGGAGAAAGAAAAGAAGCATTACAGGAAATTTTCATTGGTGATGTTCTGCATCTTGAATTGCTTCTAAAATGAGTTGACAGGATGCTGAACTTGGAAACAGGGGTTCATTTGCCTGATTATAGTCTTTGATGTTTTTTCAAAACACATCAAGTTACTTTCTATTGCTTTGCACTTCCCCGTGCCAAGAAAATAATATCCTAAATGGCCAGACTGGGACTAGAAACCAATTTGACTTTGGGAGGTACAGTATTTGACTTAGAGAGGTTGAATTTAACAGCATGACTGTACTGTAGTTGCATTGGAAGCAAGGTTATCCTCCTTTTACTGTACAAACAATGCTATTTTTCATAAAGAAAATTCCTCCTCCAATTAAAAGGGAAAAATTCACACTTTAATCTTACACATACTGTACAGGTGGTACCTTGCAATTTGACCTCCTGAAATTCAACTGTCCTGAAAATTTAATGGTTGAATTTTCTGGGAGGTTGACTTGCAATTTTACTCATGCCCAGCAATTTGACCTGCTCATCTGTCCATTTTTCTTGCATTTTTGCATTGATATTTTTGAATTTCACAAAGTGCCTTGCAATTCAACTGCTTTGCAAATTGACCCCACTTTAGCAAATTGCAAGGTACCACCTGTACTACATTTATACATGCATCAGTACTATACCTGTACATGTGAAAACTAATCTTTCTGGCTCATGTTGAAGCATAGAATAATGCCCAATACTCTGTATCAGATTCTCCAGAAATCTCGTTCGAATTTTTTTTATGGTCAAAAAAATGAGGGGTTTGGGGATATGTGGTGCCTCATCGGAAAAATAAGACAGAAACAAACTGTTACCTCTTGGCTGTCAGCTGCTGGTGGCGGTACCGTCGAGACGAGCTGCGCATCTCGCTCCGGCGACTTTTCACAGTGTAACAGCGACATCTGTCTCAGACTAACTGGAGTGGTAGAAGCGAGAGTTGTAGTTCCGGTGGGAGATGGAGAAACAGACGCCGACGAAGACGATGATGCTGGCTGAATAATGCGGTCCTCGGTGTCTTCGTCGTCCATTTCTACATCCGTTGCCTGTGACAATCAGCGAGTAACATACTTAGTCATCCATCAAAAAATCATCTAGCCAATTACTTCTTCGGAATCTTACCGATTTGGTTTGTAGGAATGCGCTGGTGGCGTGGAGGAATTGCAACTGGGCGTGTTGCAAATGCCTGGCCTGGAAATGCGAGTCCAAGTGGTTCTTGAAATGGTACTTGCTGTTTCCGGAATACGAACACAAGTGGCATCTGAACAAGGGATGTGGTTTCTTTTCGACTGAGGCCGCTGCTGCCTTTTCATCAACACTACTGCTGAAGTCGCACTGTTGCCTTCCCGAATCGCCGCCAGCGCCACGAGCGTCACTGCCATTGATAGCGGGGAAAACGCTTAAGGCGAGCTTCTCGGAAGCCGGGATAGATGTCGCAAACACGTGACGGGATGAGTCCGGCGAGCAACGGTCTTGGCAACTCGGCGGAAGGGACGTCATTCGCAGTAAATTCGTGTTATTAGCGATAGACAATCTGCTCAAGACAGTTGATGACGACGAACACGTCACGTCGACGACAGTGTCGACTTCCATTTGACTCGATTACCTGCGGAATTTCAACGGGGAGAACGTCTTGAAAATTTGATTGGTTTGGAAAATTTCTTACAAAACAAATTGTACCTCAACACCAAACTGAACCTTATATGTTTAAAATACTTATTCTGTCAGTTATGTTTCTGCTGAAAAAGAATAAAGTATATACACTTCCTTCAATTAGTAATTTTTAGCAAAATGTTTATTAAAATACAAGCGCACTGACAGAGAGAACTTTCAGAAGATATATTTACAAAAAATCTTCTTGCAGCAAAATATTTCTGGCCACAACATTTTTTTTAACTAAATGGGAATTTAAAGAATATTGTGCGAATGAAGGAGCAACTGATGGAGAAATAAATTCTTTAAAAGCATCAATTTGCTGTAAAAATGTTTTGAAAATGAAATTCCTATTCATTTTTCAAATTGTGGATTGCCTAGGATCCAATATTTATCCAGCTATTCACCTCAACTGAAAATTATTCAGTGAAGATTCTGTTGATAATTTAATAATTTTTCAATGATGATAATGTTGTTTTCCCAGAAAAATCAGAACAGGGTCAATCATAAATGTTGGGCAACCCTTGCTGAGAGTCACTTATTATTATTATTTTTTTGCTGTGCCTGTTGAATTTGTTTACACATGAAATTTCAGGGCTCTTCTAGAGAAAAGGTCAGAGGATTATTCCAATGAGCACTAGTTTGCAAAATGCAATGTAGAATTCAGACTTTTTCTGTCAGTCCTGGAGCTGATTTGAATCATTTCTGCTGAAAACATAATTTGCAACAGTTGACAAGATGTGAAAGTTATATTTTTTTTCAACCTGAGTTCCAGGACAGGAAGCCTATAAAAGCCTTTTTAGACAATGATGAAAAAATGTGTACCAAAAAACTCAGACACATCCAAAAATGGCAAATAATTTTCATAAAAAGCATTTCTAGTGGTTTTGATGAAAAATGTCGCACAGTTTCATGAACTGCGCATTTCAATTTGAACTCTTTTACAGTTTTTTGAAGGATTTGTTGTTGGATTGCTGAGTGTTGGGAACCATGACCTGCTTGCTGATTTGATTGATGGATATTATGTGTTTTCATGCCCAGGGACATTTTTAACCTTGTGTGAGCCCATTGCAATCCCCTAATTTCTGCATTCTTTGGTTTTGGCAATTGTCTCAGGTGTTTTATCATTTATATAAATTTATTCAAAAGCCTTCCCACTGTATTTTAATAACAGTAAAAAATTATACAAGATGCTGTTCCTGATAACAACACAAAAGTGCTTTAGCTGAATTAAGGGGTGTGACAAAATGGTCAAAAGAAAGCTTTTTTTTCATAATTATTCTAAATTCTTCAAACCTTTTACAATGAATACAAAACAGTAACCCAAATTCATTTTCAAGAATCTCTTTCTGAAAAATAGAGGATTATTTGAGGTGGGACTGTATTCAGTGTGTTATTTCTTTCCAAAACACATGTTTTCCTCGCAAAAATTTGGGTTAATTGGAACCTTGAAATTGTTCGATGACAATGCTAATTGACAAAATGTTCATAATAATCTTCAATATATTGAAATTCTTTTGCTGATTGCATTTGCCCAGAAGGACAAAAATTAAGAAAAAGAATTACTTTGAAATGCCGTCAGTTTTTCACTGCAGTTCTTCCCAATCAGCAGTTGAATTTCTCACCTTATCTGCAAAAAAAAGTTTTGCGAATCTATCATGCCCTTCTTTTTGCACGAGCCACGAAAATTATGTTTTATCTGCTTTATTTCGAAGGTCTCAACTCGGTTCAAAATGCATCAAAGTGGCACAAAAAGAAAGTGTGGAAATGAAAAATCAAATGACGCATAAATTTTAAACGTACGGAATTTTTCGAACACAAATATTTCGGAATTTGAAGGAATATATTTAGAAAAAATCCGAATCTTGTTGAGAAAGCTGTATACAAATTCTAAATCTTGCAAATATTCAAATTAGTTGAAATCCGTTGATTCATTTCAATGATGATTTTTTTTTCTGAACATATTCAGATAAACTCAAATCAAGGTAACATTTAAATTTTCAAAACCAAGCAAACAAAAATTGCTGAATTCCATCAAAATTTTCGTCTGACGAATTTTCACTTTTCTTTTCAAAAATTATCACTTTGCTCGAAGCGAAAATATGAAACGCATTCGAAAAAATTGCAAGTTGTTTTTCATCAGCAGCATTCGAATTTTGGAGGATTTTAAAATTATTCGTATTGATATTATTGAAATTTGCTTTTGAAAAATTCATTGAAATACTGGTCCAACAAAAACCGCTGATTAATTCTTTAAAATATGTTCTGATGTGGTAAAAAATTTTAAAAATCGTATTCGACTATTTTCCGAATTTCGAATGTTGATTCAAATATTTTATTGTACAGTATCACTGTAGATTGTTCTGCAATTTTTCATAGCAAATAAAATACATAAGAAAATCCATCCCAAAATAGCCCAAAAAATCCTTTCACTACCAAAAAAACTCCAACTTTTTCTTTCTCATTCAGACTCGAAAAAATATCCACTAGAAGACCTTTCTCTCCTTTCCGCCCTCGCAAAAAAAAGGGGTTATTCGAACTGAAAAAAAGGGGTTCAACGTCCTCCGCAGATGTTTGCACACAAAAAAACAAGCTCGGAAAAAGGGGGAACTGGGCCAAAAAAAAGGGGCTTTCAAGGGCAGGTGTGCACATCTCTCCCAAACACTCTGCCAAAAAACAAAAAATTAACCCACCAAGAGAAAAATATTCGTCTTTTAAAAAGCTGGGCAAAGGGTTCAAAAACCTCCATTTATAACCGAAACAAAACTGCAACAACATTTTTTTTAAATGCCAAAAGTTTTAAAGATAACTCCCAACAAATTATACTATATATTGTGACATTTTTCGAACTTCCATTTTTGCACATGCAAATAATTTCCTTCCATAAAATACAGAAAGCTGTAGAAATCGCCATTTTATTCGTCGAAAATCTCCATTTATAACCGAAGCAAAACAGCAACCACATTTTTAAAAAACGCCAAAAGTTTTAAGATAACTCCCAAAATAATACTATATTTTAACATTTTTCAAACTTCGATTTTTTGCACGTGCAAATAATTTTCTTCCGTAAAATTTAGAAACCTGTAGAAATCGCCATTTTCATTCGTCGGGTGTTGAAAAAAAAAAACCAGTCCCAGTTTAAACCTCGTCGTGAACCAATCAGAAAATTCCATTTTTTCCCCCGGCATCACCATAAAAAAAATGCATCATTCAAGAATTTTTTCATCATCCAAAAAAAAAAACCTCCATGATGAAATTATATTTTTTTCCACCACGCAAAAAGTCACCTAACAAAAAAAAAATGGAAAATGGAGCACACACGAGCTCAACACACGACGAGTCAGCAATAAAAAGCGACACACTCTCAACTTTTATACAGAACCCACTGCTGCTGGGGGAATATTGAAGAATAAAGGGAAGAGAAAAAAAGTTCGTTTTTACAAAAACGCAGATAACCCAGGGAAACCCAGATTAGGCTTCCGACGACACACACACACGAACACACGTGCGTTCATACAAAAACGCGAATTTCAACCGAACCCAGATGAGAACGCACCAAAAAAAAAAAATAGATGCCCAGCAGAAACCCAGTAGAAAACTTGGGGTGGGTTTCGATCCACCCCCTATTCGAAAAGTTTGGCACGAGCTGAAGCTTTCCGTAAAATCCTCCCCCCCAAAAAAAAATTAGAGAAAAAGGGATATATTTTATTAGGAAATACGGAAAATGTAACGGAACAACAGGCTCAGGGTTTTTTTTTTTTTTTTGGTGCCCTGATGACGGTCGACGGGATAAACGTAAATCGTGAAAAGAAACTCGGGGGTGTTTCTCTGACTGCCAAAAAAAAAAAATGGTGCACAATAAGAGAAGCTCTTGGTATATAGATACATATGTGGGGATTTCACTAGTTTTTTTTTTTCTTGTCTTTTTTTTTGTTGGCAGAATGGATCACTTCATTCGACAGATGCCTGCGCACGCGTGTGTTTCTCTCTTTCTGTTGTGCATGTGACCACCCTGGATTTGGTTTTTCCCAAAGTTTTGGGTCATTTTTTTTAAAAGATTATAAGCATTAAAATGTTTTTTAACCAGACCATCATTATGAAAAAAAAAATTGGTAACATGATCTCTTGATGGCTTTTCAGACCAACCCCAGGCCCTCGCTTTATTTTGATACTATGCAATGAGTTAAAATTATATAAAAATGAGGCGGGTTTCTTTTGCACCCCCCCCCCCCCTTGTCCCTTGAGATTGAGAATCTGATCTTATAGTGGAACTTGAAGTAATACAGTTTGACGCCAAGATGCTTACATGATTGGTGCATCAAGAGCGTGTCCCAAAGTAGAATTGTCCCCAAGTCAAGTCTTGTTTTTCTATAGGCTAACATTATATAATTTTCAATTGGTGTTTTATGGGAGAAATATTCTTCAAAATTCCATGAAAAAAGTGTTTTGCCACTAGAATTTGATTAAGTGGATATCTGTTCAACCCAATTAGAACATTGGAGCATTGAATAGTATACTGCTGTACAGTTCATTAAAATGTTTGCATTTGTCAATATAACATCCAAGTCACAAACAGAGAAGGAAATCCCTCTGTGCTATAGGTAAATTTTTTAAAATTAGCTGAATGGATAGGAAAGTGATGAGAGAAATTGTCATTGAAGTTGACAGTTTGAGTCTCTGCCATCTAATTGCAGGGCAAGCTGCTGTAAAATTGCAAGTTGACATCCCAGAAAATTTGACCATCAAATTGTTGGACATCAAATCACAAGGTAGCAACTGGATACTCAAATTTGCACTTTGAAAATTTGTCTGCACTGTATTCTGTGTGTCTTGGGCAATAAGCTTAAAATATTTTTCTGTGAATGTTTCTTGTTCTAATGCAAAAACAGGATTGCAGGAGTTGAAATCACTCATGAAATGCATTTATTAACCCTTGGGTG